GTCCTGTGAGCTGCTGGCTCTCAGAAACTGGTCCTGTGAGGTGCTGGTTCTGGATCTGCCGGACCTCTTCCTGTCAGTGTCCACTGGACTCAAACCTACACCTTCAGTTTTGATTGATGCTTGAATTTCAATAATAAACTGTAAAATGATGGTTTTAAATGTTGTCACTGGTACACGTCATACATACTTTATATCTCGTCTGTTGAAATCAGGTCTCTCTTTAAAAGAGTCCTCGAGGCTCAATGAGATTACCTGTCTAAATAAAGGTTGAATGAATGAAAGAGTCTTTGAGGCTCAATGAGGTTACCTGTCTAAATAAAGGTTGAATAAATTAATGGGTCTTTGAGGCTCAATGGGATTACCTGTCTAAATAAAGGTTGAATGAAAATAACTTTAAAGCAGTTCAGTCCCAGGAAACACAAGAAAATAATAAAATTAAATATTCTGTCAGAGCTGAAGCAACAACAGAGCTTTCACCTAAAAGAACAAGTTAATTAAAATTCTAATTAGCGCATTAAATACATTAAACCTCTTTTTGGAGAACAGCCAAAGGATTTCTTGTTAAAAACCGAACCGGTCCGGTCGCGTTACTCACAGAAAACAGAACTTCAGTTTAACTTGGGGACGTTTAAAGAAGATGAAACCTATTTTAAAAATTATAAAACAGGTTGTTTTTCTTGACAAAACGCTTTTCTGCTCCTCATTCTGGGACTTCAGTCCGCTGAAGCTGAACTTTAACGCTTCCGTGTTTTGGTCAGCTGACTGGGTTACCCGGATGTTCCTGTGACGTCACTGATCGCCATCAGAGGGCGGTGTTCCTCCACCACGAGCCAAACACCAGGAAATTATTATTTTTTATGACAATAATTAGACTATAATGCAGTCATTAAAGACAAGAATAGTAAATAGTTGTTTACTCACAAACAATAATTGTAGCTCCAACTTTAGCTGATTCCTGAAGAGCTGCTAGCTGAACATTGTGTGATGAGCCGAAGGATCAGGTCTTTGATGGACTTCTGGTTCCTCCACAAAATTTTCTGCTGGAAAGTTTTAACACCAAATTTACAGAACAAATTAATGTTTTATCTTTTCAAACTGTTATCTTCAGAAACTTTTTTTTTTTTTACAGAAGACTAAAAATAATTTATTGGTCGTGTTGTTTTTGT